TAATCCTTATGAAAGCAGATTGTCTCATCTTTTTCATGTATAGCTGCTGATGGACTAGGACCACTGACTTTTCATTTAGCTGTCGAGTGCTTGAAACTGCACCATCAGGGGGCCTGGCTAGAAGGAAAGACAAGATAGGAAACTTTGCAATTAGAGAGGATCATGCTTTTTATATGTGTTTTTATATAACTGTACATAAGTACATTTGGGAGTCCTGGTGGTGTGGTGTTGTGTGTTAATGCGCCAGACTGCAAAGCTGTTTGAACTGCAAGGTCGGTGGTTCAAACTCACCAGCTGCTCCTCGGAAACCCTATACAGGGTCACTATGGGTTGGGATCTACTTGACAGCACTTAACAACAACAAGTACATTTGAGAGGACTTCAAAAACTTCGTGAAAAAATTCTGTTCTTTTAATTCCATTTTTCCATGAATTTTTGAAATCCCCTCATACCGTATATAAGCTAATAAAGTGACCTTGCCTTCTATAACATCGTACCATATGAGGGATTTCATATACCTCAAATAGAATGGTAAGAATTTTGCAAACAAGTTCATGTCCTCATAGTGCTTAAAGTCAGAAGAATAATCTATTAGATAATGGTTCTTCTATCCATAATTGTTAGGGCATCAAACATCCTGTTCTGTCATTGATGGTTTAACATCCTTAACCTGCCTGCGTTTCATATCAGTACAGTATTAATGTAAACATTTCATAGTGATAGAATTTTGTTTTAATTTCTAACAGTATAAACTGGTTGAGAGATTTATATTTATATTTTTATGAACTAAAGATTTGATCTGCATTTTATTAACTGTTTTGTGGTATTGTTCCATACTACTATTTTAGTATGTTGTTAAGGGGAAATGTTCCTTGAAGACTTATTTTTAATAAGTTTGCAGGTATGTTCTGAAAATAAACTTTCCATCAGTTTTTCCTAGGTCTCCTATGCTAAGTCCAACTAGTCAAAAACACATTAAAAGAATCATTTACATAATGGCATCATTATTTAATTTAGAATTAGGAGTTCTGGTGTGGCTCCTAATAGTCCTGGATAAGCACTGGACCACAAGGTTGGTTTGAACTACAAGGCTGGTGGTTCAAACTCACCAGCTGCTCTTCAGAAACCCGATACGGGATTTTTATGAGTCTGGACTGACTTGATGACACTTAACAGCAACAGATAATAGAATTAGCATATTAAGAGTTAGAAAATCAATTAGAGCATACTTTTTATTAATCTGAAGTTATTTACCTCTGTATGTATGTATTTACCCCTTTGCCCCCAACTACTTTTTCTCCATTCAGCAGCAGCTTGAAATGGCTCTTTATTTGTAAAGGAATAATGTTCATTCCTTTACCCTGGAAAGTATTAATAGAGTCTGATCTTTAAACCATATTTCTCTTTGAGCATTTTATTGTGGTCTGGGTAGAAGTGTACAGAGCAGATTAGTTTCCCATTCAACAGTGTATATACATTTTGCTTTGTGACATTAATTATACGCCCTTAATGCCATCTTTCAAGAGCAGAATGAATTTGTATTGATTCAAGTAATTCTTCCTGGTTCCTGCTTACAGAAACTTGTCATAGAAGAAGAAGCAAGTTTTAGTTGTGTTACTATATGAAATTGATGATAAGGCTGCACACTGGAACTCGGTATCATCTCTGTGCTCCAGTCCCATAAATGGGCCTTTAGAAGAATATGGTAGATTACAAAGCCATTATTAAAACATTTTTATGTACAAGGGGACTTTAAAGGGTTTATGGGAAGATTCCATTATCTTTTAATTCCATTTTTTCCACCAAATTCTTTGAAGCCTGTATAGTGGTTACACGTCAGCCTGCTAACCTCAAGGTCAGCAATTTGAAACTACCAGCTGTTCCCATGGGAGAAAGGTGAAGCTTTCTGCTCCCATAAAGATTTACAGCCTCGGAAACCCTATACAGGGTCACTGTGTGTCGGAACTGACTCCACGGCTCACCACCACCAGTGTCAGTTCCAGAAATTGAAAGCCACATGCTTATTTTGTTTTGTTGTTGGTAGTGCCATCAAGTTGATTCTGACACATAGCAACTCAGTATAGGATTGCCAAGGAGTGGCTGGTGAGTTTGAACTACCAACTCTGAAGTTCAAACCATACCTTATGGTCGAGTGCTTATCCTGTAGCACCACACCAAGACCCTCATCATTTTTTTGGATAAAGTCTGGGATGAATATGAGTAAAGCTTGTTTTTTCCTGTGTGTTCATCATGCCCTTTGACCTTCAAATTTTCAGAGTTTAATACTTAGCAGATTTTATTTTGGTAACATTTGTAAAACACAGTTGGAGACCACATCTGAATTATTCTCTTCGGCCAATCATTTGTTCCACTTACAAATGAACTCTGGTTGTTGAGGTGCCACCTATCGTTAAAAGCCCTCCAACACCCTATTGCCAAGCAGAACCACCAGGGAGCAGTATAATTACTGCCCTAGATATTCTCAAATGGTGCAGGGCCACTAAATCCTAAACTGGAATAAAACCTAAGAAATTCAGTGCTAACGTGTCATTTTGTTCTTTTTAAAGTCATCATAATAAATTGATTGCATCCTTTATATTAACAGATGATGTTAAGTATTAATATTTTAAAGGGGTGATTTTTTTTGTATGCGAAATTAATGCTTTTTTTGTTTTTAACAGGGCAATAAATGTGTTCATAAGTGCCAACCGACTAATTCATCAAACCAACTTGATACTTCAGACTTTCAAAACTGTGGCCTGAAAGTTGTATATGTTAAGAGATTTACTTCTCAATGGCAGTATTGAACTGCCTTTATCTGTAAATTTTAAAGTTTGACTGTATAAATTATCAGTCCCTCCTGAAGGGACCTAATCCAGGATGTTGAATGGGATTATTGCCATCTTACACCATATTTTTGTAAAATGTAGCTTAATCATAATCTCACACTGAAGATTTTGCATCACTTTTGCTATTATCATTCTTTTAAGAATTATAAGCCAAAAGAATTTACGCCTTAATGTGTCATTATATAACATTCCTTAAAAGAATTGTAAATATCGGTGTTTGTTTCTGACATTTTAACTTGAAAGCGATATGCTGCAAGATAATGTATTTAACAATATTTGGTGGCAAATATTCAATAAATAGTTTACATCTGTTAAACATTTCTTTACTTGAAACAATGCGTGCACGTGTGTGAGTGTGATCAAAAGGTAAGAAAAAATGGTGTAATGTCTAAAGAACTTCTACTCACTTATTAGCAGTTTATCAGATATTAAAGCAACAAGAATTTCTTCTAGTTTTTGTCATTCATCACTTTAGGTAAAAAGTAGTCAGTGGAAATATTTGAATTACTTACTACATATGAGTCCTGTTATGGCGCTGTAGGATAAGCGCACGACTGCAAGGTTAACAGTTCAAACTCACCAGATGCTCCTTGGAAACCCTGTACCAGGGTTGCTATGGGTCAGAACCAACTCAGCGGCATTTAACAACAACAAAATTACATTTGAGGTACTAGATATTTTCCCTGCATTATATCCAGTTTGTTTTAAGAGACTTGTGAGAAAGAGAAGGCAGTTTTATGGTGTCTTCATACTGTAATGCCACTTTTTGACAGTGCGTATTTGAGTGAAGACATTAAGTCTTTCTGGTATGCTTGGCGTGTTGTGGTTAAGTGTTGTCGAGTTGGTTTCAACTCATAGCAACCCTGTATAGGGTTTCCGAAGAGCAGCTGATGAATTTGAACCACTGACCTTGAGGTCAAGTACTTACCCTGCCGTACACCATAAGGGCTGGGCACATATATTGCCAAAAAAAGAGCCACAGTTAGTAGTTACTTGAAGCTTTAACAAGGATAGTTGGTTTGAAATTGTTATAAGTGTTATTATGTGGTTGTGAAGTGCCATCAAGTTGGTTCAGACTCAGGGGTTCTAAGGAGCGGCTAGTGAGCTTAAACCACCAACCTTGTGGTTCAAACTGACCTTGCAGTCCAGCACATTAACCCACAGCACCACACCAAGACTTGTGTACAGTTTTGTTTCGTCATGCAGAAGTTTTAAGGCGCGTATATGTCAACTATTCATGTTGTGATTTCATTTTTCAAATAGAAAACAAAGGAAAAAATTAGAATAAGATCATTTTTATAAGGATTTTAAATGTTAATTTCTGTTGGCAATATGATTTTTTAAATTGTAGTAAGATTTATTTTTAAAACATTTTTCTCCATTTATAAAGATTTTTAAAGCATTAGCTCTCATTAGCAATTCAGAAGTATTCATCTTGTTAAATATCAATAGGGAATATTTGGAAAGAAACAAACCCGATAACTTAACTGAGATCTCATTATGGATGCTTTACTGGCTTGGTGTTTTTTTTTTTAAGCAAAATAGAATTGGTAGTTTTTACTATTTGGGACATAAAGTGTCATTCACCTTTGGAAATGGATGGATGGATGGTCATTTGAAAATAAGACAATGAAAATGGAATCACCAGTTTCTCCAAGGAACCCTGGAGAATAATAGACACCAACTTATGGTTGTTAGGTGTGTTCGTAACTACTGGGGTGTCTTGCTTCCAGGCCTGCTCAGCTTATAACATACATGTATTTGCATATGCACAAATATGCATGTACACAAATAATTAGATGTGTTCATATATGTATGGAGTCCTGGTGTGGTTCAGTGGGTTAATGTGCCAGGCTGCAAAGCCATTTGAATTGCAAGGATGGTGGTTCAAGCTTACCAGCTGCTCCTTGGAAATCCTATACGGGGTCGCTATGGGTTGGAACTGACTTGACAGCACTTAACATACATACATATATATATGTATAATTTTTAAAATTGTATGCTTAATTTTTAAAATTGTATGCTCATACCAGTACCTCCAAAAGATTCATGTCTTTACTCATTGTATTTTCATGTCTTTGCCTGAGAATTTTGACTTTTAAAAAAATCAGCTCATTTATTCACATGCACAATCTTATAATAGTTTTAGATTGCTTTGTCCATATCACTTGAAAAAAAGAAAAACATTAAAACAAGTTTAAGATTTGTTTGCAATTTTCTACCTGCCTAAAACTAAGGGCATATAGCTACAGTCTGCATTTATAAACTTGGATTCTTATTTCTTCACTGTGATTATATTATTTGTTTAAAATGTAGTTTTCAGTGTGCTTTTAGTTTTAAGATTCTCTTCCTTCTACCTATGTTTATTGATTTTTAATTATATACATATATCAGCGTAGTGGTTACGAATCAGGATGCGAACCTTAAGACCCGCAGTTCGAAACTACCGGCCGCTCCACCGGAGAAAGATGAGGCGTTCTGCTCCCATAAAGATTTGTAGCCTCAGAAACCCTGTACAGGGTCCTAACCGACTTGACAGCACTTAACAACAACAACAACAAATAGAGAATATGTTTCCAAAAGTCAAAACTACCTTCAGAGTAGTGAAGATAGCTCCCTCTCATATACCTTCTGCCCTCTTACCCACCCCTTGTAGGTATCCATCTTCATATGTATTTTCCTATTGTTAAGCAATAACGCATAAATCTTGCTTTCTTGCTCCCTCTTCTTTCTTAACAAAAGGTAGTTTGACAGATGTCTTGGGATGCAGACAACTTTTAGTGCTAAAATTGGGACAGTTGGGCAAACCAAATTGGCTGGTCATCCTTAATGACATTCTTCAAAAAACACGTTTTAAAAAAAATATTGATGTTTACTTTTTATACCATAAAATTGACATGTATGTCCTTTTAAAAATATATATATAATTTACATACTAAAAATTTATCCATTTTAAGGGTACAGTTTAAGTTTTAATAAAAGTGGCCACAGTCTAAGTTTTAAAACGTTGCTATCAGTCCAATAAGATCTCATGTGCCAGTTGAAGTTCATTCTTGTTCCATTCTCACCCACCGCACTCAACAACTGCTTTACTTTCTATTGGCATCAGTGATTTGCCTTTTCTAGACATAAAAACAAATGTACATGATATGTGATTTTTAAGTCTGGTTTCTTTTACTAAATATAATGGCTTTTAATTTCATCAATGCATATCATGTATTAGGATTTCTGTCAGTATTCTTGTTGCTGGATAGTGTTTCATTATGAGTATACCAGATTTTCTTTGTTCATTCAACAGTTGATGCACATCTAGGTTAATCAAGCTTTGTTTGCTATAATGTTAATGCTGCTGTGAACATTCTCAGGTTTGAAATGGTATCTCATTTTTTTTTTTTTTTTTGAAAAAAAAGTTTTAGTTTGCATTCCCTTAATGACTTACATTGTTGAATATTTTCGAGTGCTTTTAAACTATCTCATATACGTGCCCTTAGGCGCACTTTGCCTGTCTTAACATCTCCAGAAAAAAACCTCAGTTGTGACCTTTATGTAACTTCAGAGAGCTGGTTCTCATATTTCTAAAGTCAAACCAAATCCATTGTGATTGAATGAATGAAGACTCATAGTAACCCTAGAGGGCAGAGTAGATCTTTGGTTAACAGCCAAGCACTTGGGAGGGTACTTTAGGGTATTCAGTCAATTTACTATGGTTAGACTTTAAAGTAGTTTTAAGTATATTGTCTACAAAGAATGACCTGACCTATTTTTTAAAAATATTTTGTTTAAGGTGATCTGAAGTGTAGATTTCTGGAAGTGTGATTACAAACCAAAGGATGTATGCGTATGTAGCTTTGTTAAATATTGCACATTTGTTTCCATAAAGATTGTTGTATTTCACTTTCCATCAGCAATGTATAAGACTATTTTCCCTAAGCTTCACCAACACAATTGTCAAGCTTTTTAATTTCTCCCCATCTCATGGGTTAGAAATGTAGTCATAATCATGTAGTTATAATTGTTTATTTCTTTAATTATGATTGAAGTTGAATCTTCATATTTAAGAGCCATTTTTTATCTCCTTTTGGTATTTTAATAAAAAATTGTTTTAATATATTTATGTACTTAAATTTATCAATTACCCTGTGAACTCAACTGGTCCTGGTACTTTTTTCTGGAGTAGTCCCTTAATAGTTATTTCTCTGTGGAAATAGTTTTTAAAATTTTTCTATCTCTACAGGGGTCAGCTTTGTAACTGCATTTTTTTTTTTTTTTTTTTGAGAAACTACCCATTCCTCCTAGACATATTTATTAACTTCAACTAAAGCAAATGAAGTCCTTTATGCTTTTTTTCTTAATTTTACTGTTTTAATAGTTATTTCTCCCTTACAATTTTTACTTTGTATATTTGTGCTTTCTCACATTTTTCTTTACTAGCAAATCATTTGTTATTTTGGTTTATCCAGGTTTTAACTCATTATCTTCATGTACTGTTTGTTTGTTTTTCTGATCTCTGCCTCTTTACATTTTAGTTATTAATATTTGCTATTTACTTCTTTGGGCTTTTTGGAATCCTGGTGTGGCATTGTGGATTAATGCGCTGGACTGTAAGGTTGGTTTAAAATGTAAGGTCGACGGTTCAAGCTCAACAGTCGCTCCTCGGAAAACCTATGCAGGGTTGCTATGAGTCTGAACCGACTCAACAGCACGTTAACAACAACAGCATTTCCTTCTTTCGGCTTCCTTTTTCTTACTTTCTTGTTCTAGCTCTTTCACTGAGGAATTTAATTAAACCTCATTTTAAATAAATTATATTGTTGTTAGGTGCCATCAAGTCGGTACCGACTCATAGCGACCCTATGCACAACAGAACAAAACACTGCCAAATCCTGGGCCAGCCTCCCAATGGTTACAATGCTTGAGCCCATTGATGCTGCCACTTTGCCAAGCCATTTAGCTGGGGGTTTTAATTGGATTGATAAATTATATAGTGCTATTGAATTGCTCACATCACTGCTTAACATATATTCCATTGATAGTTTTTATTACTGTTTTTCTTCAGAACGTCTATAATTTTTGCTTGTATATTCCCAAGATTTAAGTTTAGAGTATCTTTGCTGTTGAGGTGGGATGGTTTTTTATTTGTTTGATTTTCAGTTTCTGCATTTATTGCATTATGATCATCAAGAATTATTGAATATATGGTACCTACTGATACTATATTTATGTGCTAATATTAAAATTTTTAACATGATTGTGAATGTTTCATATATATTTGAGAAGATGTTAGAATATTGTTTGGATATGATATTCAATATGTAT